GTCTGTAGTCCCCTCTGGTCTCTGCCCTGTGCTTGTCCCAGACCCATCTGTACCGATTGAAGTATTGGACCTGCTTGAACACGCTGGAAAGGATCGTTAGACCCAAACCCACCAGGAGAGGAAGAGACCCCACAAGCTCCCACTGAAAGAAAGGATGGGAAGAAGGCAATATAAAAACACAGCCAACAACAGAGGAACCAGTATGACACCACTAGAGTCTAGAAACTACACCAGCAAGACCTGGACATATCAACACAGATGAAACAGAAAAGAATGACTTTCAAAACAACCTCCTGAAAGTGATAGAGGCTCTCAAAGAGGATATGAAAAAAATCCCTTAAAGAAATGGAAGAAAACACAAGCCAAAAATTGCAAGAAATCAACAAATCTCTTAAAGAAAGCAAGGAAAGCCAAGAAAAAAACAATCAAACAAATGAAGAAAACAATTAAAACAGTTCAACACCTGAAAACTGAAATGGAGACAATAAGAAAAACACAAACTGAGGTAATGCTGGAAATCAAAAGGCTGAAAAAACAATCAGGAACTACAGGTATAAGCATAACTAGCAGAATACAAGAAATGGAAGATGGAATCTAGTGTACTGAAGATAAACTAGAGGAAATAGATTCATCGACAAAAGAAAGTCTTAAATCCAACAAATCCTTAACACAAAATATCCAGGAAATATGGGACACCACGAAAAGACCAAATCTAAGAATAATAGGTATAGAAGAACGCAAAGAAGCCCAGCTCAATGGTGCAGAAAATATATTCAACAAAACCATAGAAGAAAACTTTCTTAACCTGAAGAAGGAGATGCCTATGAAAGTACAAGAAACTTACTGAAGACCAAATAGACTGGACCAAAAAAAAAAAGTCCCCTCACCACATAATAATCAAAACACCAAACATACAAAATAGAGAACGAATATTAAAAGCAGCAGAGGAAAAAGGCCAAGTAACATATAAAGGCAAACCTATCAAAATTACACCCGACTTCTCCATGGAAACTATGAAAGCCAGAAGGTCCTGGATAGATGTTCTACAAACACTGAGACCACAGATTCCAGCCCAGACTGCTATTCCCAGCAAAACTCTCAATCACTAATTGGGTTGAACATACATCTATAGAACATTCCACCCAAACAAAAAAGAATATACCTTCTTCTCAGCACCACACGGAACCTTCTCTAAAATCGACCACATACTTGGCAGTAAAGCAAACCTCAACAGATACAAAAAAAATTGGAATAACCCCCTGTATCCTGTCGGAACACCATGGCTTAAAATTAGAATTCAACAACAACACAAATTGCAGAAACCTCACAAACTCATGGAAATTGAACAATGCTCAATTGCATCACCCCTGGATAAAGGAAGAAGTAAAGAAAGAAATAAAATACTTCCTAGAACTTAGTGAAAATGAAGGCACAACTTACCCAAACTTTTGGGATACTTTGAAAGCAGTTCTAAGAGGAAAATTCATAGCACTAAGTGCCCACATGAAGAAACTGGAGAACTGCCACACTTGAGAATTAACAGAACACCTGAAAGCTCTAGAACAAAAAAAAGCAAACTCACACATGAGGAGTAGACACCAGGAAATAATCAAATTGAGAGCTAAAATCAATAAAGTAGAAACAAAGAAAACAATACAAAGAACCAATGAAACAAAGAGTTGGTTCTGTGAGAAAATCAACAAGATAGACAAGCCTTTATCAAACCTAACTAAAAGATAGAGAACATGCTAATTAACAACAATTAGAAATGAAAAAGGGGACATAACAACAGACACTAGGGAAATCCAAAGAATCATTAGGTCATATTTGAAAATCTGTGCTCCACTAAATTGGAAGATCTAAAGGAAATGGAAGATTTTCTGGATAGATATCACTTACTAAAATTAAATCAAGAACAGATAAACAATTTAAAAAGACCTATGTCCCCTAAAGAAATAGAAGAAGCCATAAAGAGTCTTCCAACCAAGAAAAGTCCAGGGCCAGATGGTTTCAGTGCGGAATTCTACCAAAAATTCAAGGAAGAGCTAATACCAATACTCATCAAATTGTTCTATACAAAAGAAGCAGAAGGATCACTGCCAAACTCTTTTTATGAGGCTACAATTACATTAGAAGCCAAGCCACACAAAGACACAACCAAGATAGGGAATTACAGACCAATCTCCCTCATGAATATTGATGCAAAAATACTCAATAAAATACTGGCAAATAGAATCCAAGAACACATCAGAAAAATCATACACCATGATCAAGTAGGCTTCATCCCGGGGATGCAGTGATGGTTCAACATACGAAAATCCACCTATATAATCCACCATATAAACCATATGAAAAAAAACCACATGATCATCTTACTAGATGCTGAAAAAGCCTTTGACAAAATCCAACATGCCTTCATGATAAAGGTCTTGGAGAGATCAAGGATAACAGGAACATACCTAAACAGAATAAAAGCTATATACAGCAAACCAACAGCCAGCATCAAATTAGATGTAGAGAAACTAAAAACAATTCCTCTAAAATCAGGAACAAGGCAAGGATGTCCACTCCCTCCATATCTCTTCAACATAGTACTTGAAGTTCTAGCTAGAGCAATAAGACAACAAAAGGGGATACGAATTGGAAAGGAAGAAGTCAAACTTTCACTATTTACAAACGATATGATAGTCTATGTAAGTGACCCAAAGAATTCTACCAGGAAACTCCTCTTACAGCTGATAAACACCTTCAGCAAAGTGGCAGGATACAAAATTAACTCAAAAAAATCAGTAGACCTACTATATATAGACAATAAAGGGGATGAGAAAGAAATCAGAGAAACATCACCCTTTACAATAGCCACAAACACCATAAAATATCTTGGGGTAACTCTATTCAAACAGGTGAAAGACATGTATAACAAGAACTTTGAGTCTTTAAAGAAAGAAATTAAAGAAGATACCAGAAAATGGAAAGATCTCCCATGCTCTTGGATAGGTAGGATCAACATAGTAAAAATGGCAATCTTACCAAAAGCAATCTACAGATTCAATGCAATCCCTATCAAAATACCAGCACAATTTTTCACGGACCTCAAAAGGACAATCCTCAACTTTATATGGAAAAACAAAAGACTCAGGATAGCCAAGGCAACCCTGTACAATAAAGGAACTTCCGGAGGCATCACCATCCCTGACTTCAATCTCTGTTAAAGAGCTATAGTTCTGAAAACAGCTTGGTATTGGTACAAAGGCAGACAGGTAGATCAATGGAATCGAATCAAAGACCCTGATATCAAGCCATACACCTTTGAACACCTGATCTTTGACAAAGAAGCTAGAACTATACAAAGGAAGAAAGAAAGCATCTTCAATAAATGGTGCTGGCATAACTGGATGCTGGCATGTAGAAGATAGATAGATCCATGTCTATCGCCATGCACAAAACTTAGTCCAAATGGATCAAAGACCTCAACCTCAATCCAGCCACACTGAATCTCTTAGAGGAGAAAGTGGGAAGGACCCTTGAACAAATTGGTACAGGAGACCACTTCCTGAACATAACACCAGTAGCACAGACACTGAGATTGACAATTAATAAATGGGACCTTCTGAAACTGAGGAGCTTCTGCAGGGCAAAGGACACAGTCAACAAGACAAAGCGACAACACACAGAATGGGAAAAGATATTTACAAACCCCACATCTGACAGAGGGCTGATCTCCAAAATTTACAAAGAACTTAAGAAGCAAGTCTCCAGAACACCAAAGGATCCAATTTAAAAATGTAGTTCAGAACTAAACAGATAATTCTCAATAGAGGAGTCCAAAATGGCCAAGAGACACTTGAGAAAGTGCTCAATATCTTTAGTCATTAGGGAAATGCAAATCAAAACAATTCTGAGATACCATCTCACTCATGTCAGAATGGCTAAAATCAAAAACACTAATGACAGTTTATGCTGGAGAGGATGTGGAGAAAGGGAAACACTCCTCCACTGCTGGTGGGAATACCAACTTGGGCAGCCACTTTGGAGATCAGTATGGAGATTCCTCAGAAAAATGGAAATCAGTCTACCACAAGATCCAGCAATTCCACTCTTAGGCATATACCCAAAAGATGCAAATTCATACAACAAGGACATCTGCTCCACTATGTTCATAGCAGCATTATTTGTAATAGCCAGAACCTGGAAAGAACCTAGATGCCCCTAAAACGAAGAGTGGATAGAGAAAATGTGGTACATTTACACAATGAAGCGCTATTCAGCAGAAAAAAAATGGATTCTTGAAATTTACAGGCAAATGGATGGCACTGGAAGAAACCATCCTGAGTGAGGTAACCCAGTCACAAAAAGACAAGCATGGTATGTACTCACTCATATATGGATTTTAGACATGGAGCAGGGCATTGCCAGCCCACAATCCCACCGCCAAAGAGTTTGGGGTGCAGAAAGTACCCTAAGAGAGATATGCATGGTAACCCAGAGAAGGGTTAGGGGATGTGATCTCCTAATTGGGTTGGGGGGAAGGGCAGGGTAGAAGGAGATAGGAGAAAGAGAGGGAGAAAAGAGGAGGGGAGAGGAGGACATGGGAGAGCAGGAAGGTTAAGCCAGGGTAAGAATAGAGGAGAAAAGGATGGGAGATACCAGAAAAGAGGGAGCCAGTATAAGTTGGAGGAGAGATCTGGCACTAGTTAGATCTTCACAGATCTACAAGAATGACACCAACTCACCAACTGGCATTAAGGCTACTCTAAATGCCCTCCCATGATAATAAGAATGATGACTACCTTATATGCCATCCTAGAACTCTCATCCAGTGGCTGATGGAAGCAGAGGCAGACACCCACAGCTGTGAACCAAATTGAACTCCTGGAACCCAGTTGCAAAGAAGAGTGATGAATGACCAAAGGAATCAAGATCGGGCTGATGAAACCCACAGAGGCAGCTGACCTAAACAAGGGAGAACACGTGGACCCCAGACTGAAGACTGAGGGGCCAGCATGGGACTGATCCAGATACCCTCCTACCGAACCTGGGTGACAGAGAGGAGGCCTTGGTAATCTGTGGGGCCTTGGAGAGTGGAGCAGTATTTATTCCTGGCATACAGAGGGACCCTGGGAACCCATACCACATGGAGGGATGCTCTCTAAGCTTGGACACATGGGGAAGAGGGAAGAACTAGGCCCTTCCTGGGATGATATGACAGACTCTGAAATTCCCTCGTGGAGGCCCTTGCCCTCCCTAGCAAGCAGAGGGGGGATGGAGTGAGGGTGAGGGGTTGGGGGTGAGGAGTGGTGGAGGAGTAGAGGGAGAGGGAACTGAAAGTGACATGTGTTAAGAGTTAAATAAAAAATTAAAATAAAAATTAAAAGAGGGTGGGTATGCATTGGAGAGACATCTCAGCATTTAAGAGCATTTACTGCTCTTGTAGAACACTCACATGGCAGCTCATAACCATCTATAACTCCAGTTCCAGGGGATCCAACGCCCTATTCTGATATCCAAACATGCCAGGCACACATACAGTATACATGCATACATGCAGAAAGCTAAACACTAATACACATAAAATAACAATACATCTTTTTAAAATAATGAATAACTGTCAAAATAAGCAATCAAAACTAACTTGTCCTTTCTTATTACCCATTTAGATGAATTAGTCTTCAAGAGAAATCTAGAACAGACCATTCTAGAACAATACCCATTTTCTACGAATATCTTGTTATAATCCAGTATTCCAAATGTTCTAAACATAAATATGATTAAAATTCTGAATTTTATTTAAAGTTGAAACCTATCCCCCTGGGAAAGTGCTTTTTGGTAGCAGGAGACTGTTTGGTTAGCTCTGTTTCTGACCCTACTTACTGCTTCTAGTCTTGCTTTCTCATCATTAAGCTGCTTCTTCCTCATCCAGGATTAAAATGGGGAGAAGTATAAACCGTGACAGGAAGCATCTGTCTGGCACTACAGTTGTTTCCAGCTACAGCTAATATCTACAGTCAACTCTGGCTGATATTCAAAGATGACTTCTCTTCCCATAGAATTTCTACAGAAGCTCCCACTTTGAAGAGACTGTGCTGTTTGCCTTCCAGTGGTTACTTACATTTCCTCCTCCTGAAGAAACGTAAATCAGGTAAGCCAGCCCTGTTTGGAGTAATTTCTCCTTTCTGAGTGGAACTCTAGAATTAAATATGAAGTGACTATGGACTAGTTCTGTTCTGTAGAGCCCTCTACTACTTGATAAGAAACATCTTTTCCTGCTTTTGATGTAAATGCAATTAATACTCAAAAAGGTTTAGCTGTCTTTGTCTTTTCTCTAACTTCACACTAATAGCTTAAGCCTCTTATCTTACCTATATATGTTTATATATTTAAATTTCATCATCACTCATCCATTGCATTACCAAACCATCTTTTGTTTTATTGTGTTTTGTTTTTGAGACAGGGTCTCACTACATAGCCCTGGCTGGCCTAGAACTCACTATGTAGATGAAGATGGCCTTGAACTCACTGCTTATCTCTGACTCGTGGATGCTGAGATTAAAGACATGTGCTATCATATCCAGACCATACAACCATTTTTAGTGCCTGCCCAAATATTTCTACTATACAGTTGAGCTTTCTTGTGAAGACCTATAAGGAGCTTGCAAGTGAACATCCCAAGTCAAGTAACAGACTGTAAAATAAAATTTATTCTTTTCTCTTAAATATATGTCCCACAGAAGGGGTTTCTTGTGGATTTTTGCCTAGGGAAATGTAAGCAAGTATTTATTTACCCCAGATAGAGCACTAATGACAGACCAAAGAAATGGTTCCAACAAAACCAGCTTAGTGAAATTATAAGTTTATTGAAGACCATGATTCAAAAAGAATCCCCCAAGTTACCAACAACCCAGGAGACCAGTTCAGAGAACCATGGCAACAGGTTCCAAGGCAAGAAGGGAACTAGTTTTGTGATTTGAAGTAGAAAAATGGCAACTCTTTTGGATTTTAAGTGGGAATTAAGTAAAACCTAGAGAAACCCATGTAAGTGGGTATCCGGAAGGTAAGAACCCAGTTTAGGAAAGAACAAATTTGTAAAATCCTCAGCTATAGTAGTTTGGAGATCCTTACTCTGCTATTATACCATTGATTGGACAGCTATGCCCCTCATGTCTCTTTTCATTAAAAGCCTCATTCCCATCAATTTAGACAGCACCCTCAATCTGGCCTTAACCTATTTGTGTTGCAAAATGGTATGTAAGTTGCATGATGAAGACCCAGATCCCCAATCCTGAGCAACTAATGGCCTAAAACAGGGTCCAATAACGCTGGCTACTGAATATGAGTGCTTGTTTCACTGTTTAAAGTTGAACTCGCTGGTGGTTATAGAGATGGTGCTGTCATTAAGAGCACTGGTTGCTCTTCCAGAAGACCTGAGTTCTACTCTAGCACCCACATAGTGGCTCACAATCATCTGTAACTCTGGTTCCAGTAGATCCAATACCCTTTTCTGAACCCCTCAGACACTTCATGTACATGGTACACAGATATAAATTCATAAAACACACACACATAAAAATAAGTAAATAGAAATTGGAGTTTGACCCACTGAATATTCATCTGAAGATATCTGTCTTAAAAAAGAAAAGCATATTAAGAAAACTACAAAAAAATGAGCACTACACAAAAGTGGGAAGTAAAACCAGAAATAGAGATGTGATGTATATATATATATATCACATTTAACCTTAACTAACATGTAACAACTTGAATCTAAAGTTATGCTACTTTTTAAAATTCCAAATGAATTAAAGTATTAAAATATAGTCAGTATATGTGATGTCTCTTATTTCAAACACTAGAAAGAAACCCATACTTTCAATGAGAAAAAGTCAGATTTCTCATTCCTAATAAATAATTATTGAGCAAATATTTTGTGAATATTGGATTAAAAACACATTTTTGACTTGTACATCTACCTGCCTTGAGCTAGACATAATTAAAATACAAGCATAAGTCATTCATCTTTTGCTGTCCAACTATTTCCCAAGTTCATTTATATATCTTACCAAGGAAATGTAGACCTTTTTATGGGGATTTCCTCAATGCTGTGAAGCTTCTGTCTAGTGATCAAACTATGTCCATAAGAATACATGCAGAGGATGCAATGGGTCCTATTTGCTTCATATACAGGTAATAGTCATTGCCTACAAATAACAGAAGACCTAAAAAATACAACTTTTTATAAAACATTTTTATCTCACATGATCTGAAATCCAAGTAAGTTTGTGGGCAAGCTAAGTAATTTACCATAGATTCAGAGTCTTTCATTGTAGTGTAGCTTTCTCCATAGTTCAGCATCACATGCAGGCATGGCATCTCTTTCCCATTGGAATCTTTGTCATGAACAATTAAACAATGCTCAGAATTCTCTTTAGCCAGAATTACAGAAGGCAACTTGTTGATTTCTATACCATTCACTGATGAGGAACATAAATGGTTTAAGGAAGCACACCTTAAAAATGTGTCTCTACTTAGGCTGACAGAAAATGAGTTATAAGGGGAGAATTACGGTTTTGTAGAAGTGATGAGGAAAAAGAATAGATGCTTAATAAACAACATTGAAGTTATTCATTCATGTTGATGCTAAAATTAACTTTTAGGACCACAAGTGAAACAGACTCAGATTTTGCTGAAACAAAGTTAATATTCATCTCTCCTTGTCTCCTAAGCATAGAATGATATTCTTAAGTTGTACAGGTTTCACCAACTTCCCAATCAAAAGGACAGAGAAAAACTGGTAATATTTCTATAAACATATCCCCAACACTATAGGAATATTATACTTAAAAGGACTCTGGTCATACAGGTTTGGCAGGGATAAACATACTTCTTTTTCCCATTATTTGTACATTGAAAAGCTATGAGAAGTCTTGCCATTAAATAGCTCACAATGTGTTAATAGAATCAAGTCATCTGTGTTCAAGTCGATATTCTATCATTTTCCAACTGTACAGGCTCCATAATCCTGTGTCTCTCATTTGGGGAAAGAGGGAACCTAATGATACTTAAAACTTAATTGGTTTTACTATGATATATGTGTGAGGTATCCATGAGGAGCTTTCAGCACAGTCCTTTGTGCATCCACTCATTTAATGTATTTATTGGTTCTATACTGTATGCCAAGATACCAGGCATCCTGGAACCTACAATCAGATGGTGGAGAGAGGAGGCAAATGATAAGCAAATAAAAAGCAAATGGAACCATGTCAGTTTGTGAATACTCTGGGGGGGGGGTTGTAACAAAACGTTGTTGTAGACGTTGTAGGACGTTGTCTTGTTTAGAGTTTCTATTACTGTGAAGAGACACCATGACATTTTCTTTCAAACCACCACATCCCATTCACTGACAATAGGCTTATAGCACAATACATAATTCCAACATATAATGACACAGGATATACATTACCATTCTAAAAATGTAGGGAAGGGAGCATAGTGAAGAAATATTGGCCCAAAGCAAGACCAAAACTCAGCTAGGCAAACTCCATGTCTGATGTCAAAGTGCTCTTCAGATCTCTAACTCCTTTTGGCTCTAACTGCAATAAACTTCTTTCTCCTGGGCTGGTTCCACTCCCTGTCAGCAGCTTTCCTTGGCATGTGTCCCAGGACTCTGGCATCTCTGACATCTTGGGTCTCCAAGGCAATCCATGCTTCACCTTCACAGCTTCATACACAGCCTCTTTAGGCCTCCATTCATGGACACCCTTGACATATGCCTGGCCTCAGCAGCTTTCCTTAGTCATGGAGGGAGACTCCCTAACCCCTTTCTTATATCCGTAATTCAAAAGTCAGAAACATGTTGCCAAAGTTGCCAAGTTCTGCTGCTTGTTGGGGTTGGAACATGGCCTTTGTCCAAAAACATTTTCACCAGCTTTCTGTTTTCAGTGGTTTCCTTCACTGCCTAAGATTGGCTGTCCTTGAACTCGCTCTAGAGATCAGCCTGGCCTTGAACTCAGTGATCTGCGTGCCTCTATCTTTGGAGAGCTGGGATTCCAGATGTGACTCACCACACCCAGGTCTAAGTTTTACTTTAATTTCTTTTCACCAGCTGGAAGCTTTGCTGAGTGGGGTCTTCCTCTGAGGTCACCACTTCTTCTATTCCAGTTAGCATCAGACTTTTCTTTAACCTATTAATCTCTTGAACACAGGACTTAGCTCCATTCCACTTCCTGGTGCCCCTTTTCTACTCAAACTTCACATTTTATATTCTTCCTTACTCAGCTCCTTTTCATTACAGATCTACCTACGAGTGAACACTAATAACCACACAACAGAGTCAATACTAGGCTGTTCTGAGATTTCCTCTACCAAAACAATTAATCCAAATCTCCTCAATTTAGTCTCAGTCAGACTTTTCAGATAAGGACTGAAAGCAACCACATTCTTGGCCAAAAAAAAAAAAAAAAAAGAAATACTACAAAAGTGTCTCTAGGCCACATACAATTCTCCTCTGAAAACTCTTGAGCCAGGCCCCCACAGTTCAAATTACCCTCAGCATCACTGTCTACCATGTTCCTACTAGTGTGGCCCATTAAGCAGTATTTAAAATATTCAATTGCTTTTCTGATCCAAAGTTCACAATCCTCCAAACAAAACCATGGTAGGCCTATCATAGCAATACCCCAGTTCCTGGTATCAACTTCTATTTTAGTTTGGGTTTCTATTGCTGTGAAGAAACACCATGACCATGGCGACTCTTCTAAAGGAAAACATTTAATTTTACTAGCTTACAGTTTCAGAGATTTAGTCCATTGTCTTCATGGTGGGAAGCATGGTGGCATGCAGACAGACATAGAAAGGAGATGAGAGCTCTGTATTTGGATCCACAGGAAGCAGGAAGAGGCAGTGAGCCACTAAGCCTGACTTGAGCTTCTGAGACACCACCCCGAATGGCACACTCCCTCCAACAATACCACATCTATTCCCACAAGACCACACCTCCTAATAGTGGCACATTCTGTGACCTGATGGGAGCCATTTCTTTTCAAACCACCATAGATGTTTTAGAATCATAGAATGGCATTTCTGAGAAAAAAAAATTTACCCTAGACCTGAGTACTCAGATGCTATTATCAGTCATTCATTCAC